TCCCAAATGTATGTTTTTAAGGTTTTGGAAACACATCTACGAAATATAATGGTATCTCATACAATCAAAAACTTTTCTGCCTAAATTTTTGTTTCACAGCAGAACACCCTTTATTCAAACATATGGCATAAAACAATTCTACAAATTCTACTTTACTTCTTCTAAATGTCAGGTCAAGTTTTAGGTAAAAAATTGTTAAAATTAGCTCTTTTTGGGGGGGGGGGGAAACAACATATGCTTTTTACCATGGTAAAAAAAAAATTTTTTTTAATAAATAAATAAAAAAAATAAATAAATAAATCTCAGGTTTCTTTTATATTCATCCAAAGTGTAATCAATAACCAAAACATGAAGAAAATCTATTTTTTGAGTTTGGCCACCTTTTTCAGACATTGGTCAATAATTACAGACAACCGCTCTTAAATCTCATGATGAAAACATCACCAGAATCTACATTATGTTTAGGCTTATTTTAAAGTCTAAAATCACAGTGTATAACCAATTACGTCAGATAACGTCTAGTATTTGAAACCTATAGATCTGCAAAACTGTAACAGCATAGATCATAAAAGTCTTCACCTCACAAAGTGACATAATTCCATATTTAGCTTAACTGAGAGAAAAATTATGACTTTACTGTAGATTTTCAGCTGTTTTGAACACGAGGCATTGCTTACAGTGTTCCTGTGGTTTGACTATAAGGCCATGTGAAAAAAATAAGTTGGTGATCGTTCCCTCCCTACATAAAAAATCACCCAACCAAAGGCCATGTATAAAAAATAAGCTGTTGATAACGGATCCCTTTTCAATGTGGTTCTGTCTTTCAGTTTCTCCTAATTCATCCCTGTGGGCCTGTTTCTACTGACAAGAAAGAACCGTTCTTAAAAGAACGGTTCTTTGTGGCAGTGGAAACTAATAAAACAAAAAAAGAACAGTTCTTTTTTGGGTTCCAAATAATGGTTCTTTCCACGGAATCAATACCATGCCGGGAATGCTAAAGAACTGTTCTTTGAACAAAAAAAAAACATTTTTCGTGGGTTAGTTTTTAGCTGCAACCTAAATAGTGGCCTAATCTGACATAATGTCAACTTTGGTTGACTAGGTTCTTCTCTTGTTAATCCGATAATCAACGAGCCATAAGAGAACCGTTTCTTCCTCGATATTCAGTAGAAACACACCCTTTGTGACAGCAAGGCAGACCTTATGACCTCTTAGAGTATATAAATATATAAAAGTTGCAGCGTTTTAAAATAAAGTGTCTATGTAGAAACGTCCTATTTCAATCTACAGGAATATTTTCAATATGTCACAAATATATCATATCTTAAAGAAATGTACAACAATTTAGTAAGAAATAAACTAATTGCCTTACTTCATTTATCCTACCTAAACATATACCCTACTTACCATCAACACAAATATGACTATTAAAGTTAAGCATGAACACAGTGTATGCATAACGTTTACCACCACACTTATCTATGAGTTGTCTTTGAGAAATGCAGTTCTGAACGTTGGAGTCTAGGCCCAGTGATAAATTTCCGTAGAATTTTTGTGTATTTCCATCTGTAATTAGGCACAATCTTCTTTTAGTGGTCATAAATAAATGTTCTATTTTATCAAAACTAATCACGATATTTAACATACTAGAGGGTAAACGAGGGAAGTGAGCACACTCTCTAGTACATAAAAATTAAAACTAATTAAAAGAGTATATTAAGTATAACACTATAATTGCCTGTATGTAAATAATAGGGATTTTTATCCCCTGTCCACTCTGGTACTATCCAGTTTGGCAACCAGCATCTGGATATGGGCCAGAAATGTCTAGCACTGGAGAAAAAAATCTATGGTACCGGTACATGGCCCTGAAGAAGACAGAAATGCAACAGAAAAATAGGCATCAGGAAATTAGTAATTACCAATATGCCAGCATGTGTTGAAGCCATTTTATTTAATAATTTTAACACCTTGACAGTATAAACTACTTTCAACTGATCAGTTTCTATTCAAAATAGATGGTTTTGAAAAATTTAAGCTGAAATATTCTGTTTTTGCTGGTTCTGCAGTCCCATAAACTGAACACATTGTAGATCATTTTTCAATGTTTCATACAACAGTAGAGCTTAATATTTCTAAAATGTTGGCAGGTATAATTTTCTAAGGGTCTGTGTATTTTTGCCTTAACAAATGAGTATGTACAAATTCCTTTTCATTACATCAAAAACAACACTAATATAATTAATAATGATAATTCTTGATTTATATAGCACCTCTTGTTAAAATTAACCTTGAGCTATTAAGCTATTATCAACACCACTAGATTTATGGGAACAATTTTTGGCACGATTCATGGAAAATATCTTTTAAAAATAAGGCAAACCCCTATTATGGGAACACCAATATTAAGGTGACATATATTCTAAATCCCTTTATACTTAAGAGGTTTTACTGCATGTGATTTACTAAACACCATAATATTGCACATGCACATATCACATGGTGTATCAAGAATGCAGTTAAGAATGTGTTGTTAGAATTACACATGTATCAATTAATTTGCCTCAAAAAAATTTTACACCCTCATTGCCATCAAAAGAAATAAGCTCTGCTTTGCGATCTTTTTGGAGCAATTCTAACGAACGTTTTAATAGCCAGTCTTCAATCCCATGAAAATCTGAAACAAAAGAAAAGAGCAAAATCAATAAATTTATCAATCAACCATATTCACGAAAAACAATAAATAACAAGAATCTGAGACTACAACCACTTGACCCATTGCGTCATATTTATGTACAGAAAGAATAATAGCATTTATGTACATTGTAGCCTTTACCAATATAATGAAAAATCATAAAAATCTTAAAATATAGCATTCTCCGATTATCAATAAATTTGTGGCAATGCATTTAGATTCGTCACTTAGAGGCCATGTTTCCACAGCACTTCGAATTTCTCCAATAAATTATCTTAAAATTCCATCCAAATATTTTATCCCATCATGCAAAATTACGGACAACAATGCAATGTGTTCAACATCAAAACATCTCGTTTGTTGACCTAGCAGGTGACCCTTTTCTTGCATGAAATAGATAGGTTAAAACATGAAAAATGTACTCACTTTTTATTATAAAGTATTTGATACTACTATACCGGTTAGCCTACTGACTATTAATTGCCTTAGAAACTAAATACCGAAAAGAATTCTTTGCATGACCACAATTTGAATTCAGTCAAATGTTATTTATTTTCGCATTTGAAGCTTTTTCTGAAAAAGTATTTGATATACGAAAATTAGTCGGAAACTTTAGGCCCACAAATAATAACAAAATGGCTGCTTTCTGGGTAAGCGGGTAAAAGTGCTGCAGAAAAATGGCCTTAGAATATCTTGAATTTTTTTTTCAATGACTTTCTTCGCCCCTAAGGGTCCCTTCATGTCCCTTCGAGTCTGTGCTACCCGGTAACCCGGTACCAGCAACTCTCGTCGTCCACCACAGGGGCTGTCTGTTCCAGTACACCGGGGTATCCCCCTACTCGTCTCGAAGGATGTACAGGGTTCTTTATAGTGCACACGAGCCATTGTATACACTGGGCCTATGGTTTATATTACTGTTTACGAAAAGAATATATCTTCCTAGTGCCCCAAGGGGCGAAGGAAGCCCTGGATATTTGATGAATTATGGCAAATTTTTATTACTTATTTGATAGGCATCGAGTTACTATAATATGACTTCTGTAGGCTATGCTTTCTAATGTTGAAATCAGCTTCCAAAACCAAAACATTTTGAATAAAGCAAGAAACAAAGAGTACCATATGCAATGTTAACATCTAATTTATTTTCAAATCCTCATTCTTGAAAGTGAAATTCTATATTTTGCAAATTTTGCATGAAATCTGTCAACAACGCTGTCATGGTCGAGGTTGCTTCACCTATCACGATGTATTCCAACCATCATGAGGTTACCTAAATGAGCATTTGTCAGAATGCAAATTATTTTTAATTAGTCTCATTGAATTATTATTATTATTATTATTATTATTATTA